TGTGTGTGTGTGTGTGTGTGTGTGTGTGTGTGTGTGTGTGTGTGTGTAGGGGTAAGCTAGCTCTTCTGAGCCCCAGGCATTAGCTCACTCTTCTATTGAATATTTCCTCTCAAACATTGTTCCCCATTAATAATTCAGTACATTGGAACAAAGACCAGAAGCCTCAGCTAGAGCCATTGAGGACTTTTTCTTCACTGCAAATAGGGGATACTTAGATATAGTGAATAACAATGTATGATACCTTTTTCTCTCTTCTGGGATATTTTATCATTTCCTAAGGTGTGAGTTCTGACACTCTACTTCAAATATGTGTGAAAGTCTCCTAGTGAATATTGGAAGCTCTTAGAATCAGTAGCATTCATGTTATTTACAAGCTTCTTAGAAGAGATGTTTGAAAAGGTGGTGATAATCAAAACTTGTCTGTAAAGATCGCATCTTTTAAAGTCTCTTGTTTGCTATATCCATGTCCACTTTCTCCATCTCTGGAGCTGAAAGGATGACTTTTTTTTTCTCATGACAGTATCATTATCCCTAAAGAACCAAACCTTTCTGTCTCTTACACCTTTGCTTGCTACAGAAATTCTGCGCCAAGAATGTAGCTGACAATTTAATTTCTGTGAGGCTCAGGCTGAGGACATAATCAAGCCTCATTTCTCTGACTCAGCACTGGCATCTCTATAGGGGTTACTGTAAAGAAATAATCAAAACCTCCAATACACTTCTGGGTCAATAAAGTGATCAGATAAGACTTGCAAACAGCATCTTTACATAGGTATTTCTGTGACCTTGACCACAATTTAGAAAGAGGATTTTAATCTCACTGCTTCTGAAAGCTTTTTAGGGCAAAAGCTCCCATCACCTAACCCTTTCATTGGGTGGCAATGTAGTGAAGTGCTAAAGCACTCTTCTAAATGAATAAGAGGAGAGCATGGAGTGGTAGAGCTACCAGGAAATAGTTAATTTGGAGCTAACAGGCAATGTGCTAAGCTTAGACTGTTGGCTTTCACAGTGAGAAAATGAAACTTTCCATCCCTCAGAGAGCAAAAGCCTAATCACTATCACACTATTTTTAATGCATCTTGCTTTATAGCATAACTGGACTGCATTTTTCATGTGAAGGTAAAAATTAAAGGATTTATGATAATCCTATGAGGATGGTTGTGGGTGTTTCATTTTGATGAGAGCATTTTCCTCTATTCTTTGTTAACATTTCTCAGCTTCTTGCTACAGTCTTCTTACCCGAAACTACTCATGTGAAAAAAGTCTTACGAGATAAGCAACAATTCTTAGGGTACAGAAGCTCATATCCTCCCCAGCTACTTATGAGAAGTGACTTCTTCAGGCTTTTAAAATCAGAATGTAAAAGTGTGCAAAAGAATCCTACCTTGCCAACATACTGATAATCGGATCCTGTGTATTCCTCCAAGAGGAAGAACTGATTCCACATCCAGCTCCTTTTTGCTCGATTAAGCTCATTCTTGCTACTTCCAGATAGCTCCAGTATCTTTTTCTTCTCTGGAAAGCCACTAGTCCTCTTAGAGAAGGGGCTTGAGAAACTTTGGTAGGGCTGACCAACCCAAAAAAGCAGCAAGAAGTAATGGTAAGTTCTCATTATGATTGCACAAAGCAGGGCGCAGTTGTAGTGCCTTTTCCTGTCCTGGAAGTGCTCAGTTTTACTGCACTGTATCCAGCCTCATTCCTTCCTTCTTCCTTAGCGTTTGTTGCTTAGGTCTCGGAGGATATCTGGAAAGAATAATAACATATCAAGCATTTTTAGAGACACTTAAAATTCAGTGTTACAACAAATAAACTGGAAAAGTAGAACAGAATGGAATAGCCTTCCGTCTCTCCAACCCCCCCCCCCCAAAAAAAGTCTGCTATCAATTTGGAAAGGCAGAAAATGGCCTTTGAACACACTAAATGGAATGTGTGTTGGATAGGAGGCAGCTGCTTTCTTTCTCATTTTCTATTACTTAAAAATCCCTGTTTAAGTAATAGCTTTGATATAGGACAAAGTGTCACAATGCATTTATTTTACTAACTCTTTCACATCTCCAAGTGTGGGCTGAGATCTGGTTAGAGGAAATGAGTCTGGATGTTCCTAGTTCTCTTTGCTTTTCTCTTTTTCAACACAAGTCCAAAGAAATGAATATCATGGATAATTGCAATATAGTCCAATTGATTAAAACTTGGCCTCCATTATGCTTTATACCTGATGAATCAACTGCTTAAACTGAACACTTTAAGAAATTAAGATGGCAATTCTTAATTTGCCCACAAATCTTTCATGAAACTTTCACATATACCCCATTGTCACAGTGATGGTAGTGAGCTTCAAGAGCCTTACAAGGTATGGTACCAGGAATGAGAGAATTGTAGAATCTCAAGGCTGGAAGGAACCATCTGGTTCACTTTTTTGTCTTACAGAAGAGGAAGCAGATGTTCAGAGAGACAGGTAACTATGAATGGTTTTCCTTGGAAGGCAATGGATGTATGAAAGTTTTTACGGAAAAGTTGGATGACTATTTAGTTGAGAGGGGATTTTGACCAGGTACACCTTGGATTAGATGACGAGCTACGGAGATTTCATTCAATTCAGAGATTCTGTACTTATGTACCTAACACAGAGACACAATGGAAGTTAAAGGCAGAGCCAGCTCCAGAACTTAGTTCTCCTGATTTCCCAGTCTATGGCTCTTTCCATATACCCTGTACTTCATGACTTCATGTGAGGGATTAAATTTTTATTAAATCTAAGTTTTCATAAACATGATTTCCTTTAGGCTCAGACTAGTATTTTTGCAGATCCTGGGCCCATGCTACTCTGCACATCTGCTACAAATTGGTTTACCAATCTGAGCAATTAAAACAATGCACACACATATTCTCTTGCTACCCCTAGTCCACATTTCTCAGTTACAATCCAAGGCATAAAACCATATCATTAACTTCTTTATCTGATTACTTGATAATGGAATGAGTCTGTTTAAACAACAACAAAAAAGGATTCCAAGTGCTTCCCAAAGCAGAACACAATAACAATTAACCATTATGTCATTTCCAACAAGGCAATGAACGCATTTTATATTCACAGATCAGCATTTTGTTTCGATTTCTTTCCCCCTGTGCTAGGGAGATTTGCACACTTGGCTCTTGTTACCATTAACAGGAGGTACAATTGTAACTACCTTTTGCATCAGTGAAATTGATAGCCACCTATCATCTGGCTTGGTGGATACTTTCTGTTGAGATGGAAATGGGGCACTTTACAGTATTCAGCATTTTTTGAACCTTCATTACATTATCGTACTTCTTCCTGACAGCAGGCTGGGGAAGATAGAAATTCCACAGGTGAATAAATGAGTACTGTGACAATTAACACTGTTGGCTGAGGGCCAGTGAACAGGACTCTTGCCCTTAGGTTGGCTTTTGGTACAGGTACAAGATGATTGATGATCCATTAGGTAATGAGCAGCTTCTCTCTTTTTCTTCATGGCATACAGATGAGGTGTGCATGGAGGAAAGCCCACTAATAAATCTGCCCCCTCTCCTTTTTTCCCTTTCCTGTTGTACAGGTTCAGATATATATGAGGGTTCAGATACAGGAAATCACACTTTCCCTATGTTTCCCACACTCTAAATTATCTGCATAAAAAGATCCTGTGGTGAAGAATCAGACATGTGTGCTGCATCCAATGTATCCCCTATGGTGCTGGCAGGGAAAGAGTGACATGGGGAATGGCCCTGTCTGCTGTTTTAAAAGGCAAAATCATAAAGGGCAGTTTAAAGGAAAATCTATACCCGTGGGTGTTTTGTGTAAATTATGCAATCTGGTGCTGCTCAGATGTTCAATATTAGCTTTTCTGTAATATCACAGATATAAAATATAAAGTGTTTGCGGGAGGATTTTTTTCTTTCAGGAAAAATGTGCCCTAAGTGCAATCCAAATTAAGGCCATTCTGCCTAAATGTGCAAGAACACCACAATGAGGCTGTGGTGTGTTAACCAGAGTGACTCAATGTTGAAAGCTGAGGTTGAGGGGCTATTTGCACCATAGCAATGAAACATTTGATATTATAGAATTTCTATGAATAAATTCTGTAGTGGAAAATATTAAAACAATGGATAGGAGAACTTAAATCACACAGTGTTTCTTTGTACTGCATTTCTAGGCTGGAACTTTACCCTGATATATTTAGCAATAGAATACAGAGTTAGACAAATTCTAAGGATACCCATTCTTTCTCTTTATTTAAACTTTTCTAAAAGCATCAGAAATTAAGGTAGAAGTTATTACACACAGAGATTTATTCCTGAGAATAGAAATGTGCACAAAGTCCCAATGAATCAATTTTCTAATTGTTTTTTCACTACTGTGGATATTTCATCATATGATTCATTAACACTAACAAACATCTCAAAAAAGGGAAAAAAATCAGAAAATGTCTTGAAATATTACAACAATGGGATAAGTGAAAAGTTTTTAACCTAGAGTCTGCAAACTTATTCTTTTAATATTTTGGTAACTTTTTTCAATATAATTGGTTTCCTTGGTAATTCTTTATTTTACTTTATGCATTTAAAATTATTCTGAGAAAGGGTCCAGAGGCTTCACCAAGCTGCCAAAAGGGACTGTGCCACAAGCAAAAAAGGTAAGAACCTCTCGTCTAAATGAAGGGGCCATAAATAGGAATACTGCAGAGGTGAAAGACCACTTGTAATTTGCATATTTAAAACAATTCTTTCTTTGTTCTGGTTCATTTTAAAATGACTTTATCTCATTCAGGTGAAAAAAACAGGAATCTGATTTCAGTTGAAGAATTTTCTTTTTGGGGAAAGAACATGGTATCCTATAACTGCTATTTTGAGAAGCAAATATATGAACTATTTGTATATAACATGTTAATATTACTTGGAATTATAAAGTATAAGAATTTGTCTCACTTCCTACAAATTGCACAGAAATCTCAGGTTTTTAACTATTGTCGAGTAAGAGAAAAACCATCTTAAATGGTGATTAGACCAGGAGCAGGATTCTTAAGCAGCTAGTCGCTCGATGATGAGTTGAAATATCATCTTCAGAAGGAAAGAAAGGAGACGCGCTACACTACACTGAAACTTCAGAATGGATGGCAAAGCTCTTGATTCTGGGGAAGCCAGAGTAATAGATAGTCGGTTTGCCAAGTCACAATCATATACGAGGCAGCTCATTTCAAGAAAAAAGCAGGAAGCCAGAACTCAAGGTAAAGAAGCAAAGGTACAGATAGAGAACAGATTTTATAAGGAAAGGTTTGGCAGCTAACATAAGTAGACAGTAAATGTTTACTCTAAAGAGAGTTTTTTTAAGAGAAAGGGAAAAAAAAAACACTAAAACACACCACCTCCTCTTCCCTTGTCCCTATGCATTCTCCAGTAATGCAGAAAACATCAACAGCTGAACCCTACCTCTGCCCGCTAACGATATTAAACATCACTCATTGCCATACCTAAAAGTAATGAGTATTAAATAACCTTAATATATACTCTCATTTTAATTTCATTTTCTTGGTTTTATTTTCATAATAATCTATGGTTGTAGGACAGTTGCCTGTATTTCTTGTATTGTCTGAAACTATTCATAGATGCAACTGGTTAATTCAGTCATATGTATGCCAGGCTATGGGTACCTCAGTCATAAGAAGGATGTAGGCCTGATTCTAATTTTAAAAATGAGGAACTTTTGGTCAGAGGCTAGTCCAGAATATTTTCACTTATGGCAATATATCATTAATTCAAACTCCACTAATTCTGAATTTATACAATTTCAGAAAAAAAGCTGAATTCTTTCTTTTGGAAACCCAAAGATCTTTGAAGATCAAATGCTTTAGGGATATTTGAAAATTAATAGTGTATATAAGATTACATAGGAGGATGTCTAAAATAATAAGAGAACAAACTATTTTGGAAAGTCCCTCAAGCACTTTTGAAGGAATGTTTATCATATAAACACTTGATATGCTAATTTAAAAACCAGTCTCAGCTATTCATTAAAACAGATCATAGAACCATAGAATTATGAATTTAAAGTTGGAAAGAGATCCTCTAAGGACTTCTACAAGGTAACAATTTAAAAACTTTTAGGTCAGGGCAGCTAGGTGGCGCAGTGGATAGAGCACCAGCCCTGGAGTCAGGAGGACCTGAGTTCAAATCCAGCCTCAGCCCAAACACTTGACACTTACTAGCTGTGTGACCCTGGGCAAGTCACTTAACCCCAGTTGCCAAAAAAAAAAAAAGAAGAAGAAAAACTCTTAGGTATTTGAAGCCCTTTTCCACCTGGTTTCAACCTACCTTTTCAGCCTCATATATTACTCTTTCTGTCACTCCAGCCAAACTGGCCTTCCCACATGACTCTCCATTTCCCATCTCCACGCCTTTCCACAAGCTGTCCTTCATTCTTGGAATGCACACGTTCCCCCAATTCCATCCGTTAGAATTCTTAGTTTCTTTCAAAGCTTAACTCAAGGGTCATCCAAACAGGCCCCTTCCTAATTACCCACAGTCAGTGCTTCCTCTTGCCCAGATTATCTTAAATTTATATGTGTATCTTTTGTATATACATGAGGATCATCTCCAGTCCTCCTGATTTATATCTTGCCACTGGACTCAGATGACCCCTGGAGGATAGAGTGAGGCTGATAACTTTGCATAGCTCTGCCTCACTTAAATCCAATTCGCTTGCAAGTCAAGACATCACCCTCCTGATG